TTTTACGTCGTCCAATAAAAAAAAATACTTTAATGACGTCATACATATTTAAATATGCTTGCGTTGAAATCTACAGGTTAGAAAACCCCTTATATGTTCTAATAACCAAGGTAAAATGAATCTGCTTAGGTATTACAATATTTTACTCATCCAATCAAAAAACAGTAATTTGATGACGTCATACATATTTAAAAATAGTTTAATTGAATTCAGCAGGTTTGAAAACCCCTTAAACAGTCTTAACATGAACATAACCAGTATTTTCTTATGAGTATTGACTTTTGGCACACTTTGAAACAATTCTGGCCCACTGTGCGTCGGTTTAAGGTGGAACAAAAGAGAGAAAAATAAGCATACAGTATTTATATTTATATTTTCCCCGATTTTTACTATTGTATTATTGTCATTGGTGCAGCTATTTACTTGTTAGATTATGATCATATATTTTTTTAATATGTCTAGCGAACTTTATGACTTAAGTTCTATTTTTCTGTGACTATCAAACCTTTTCTTGACGCAGGGTTCCCGGAACGCCGCCCTCAGCGACGAGTGCGAAGCATACAACTCAGGGTCAAAAGTGGAACGTGAAATTTGGATATGGTTTCGTAGTCAGATTTGCAAGAAAAACTTCAGCTACCCGTATTTCTCGACTGAGACGTCAGTGGGAGCTGTAATTTGTATGGCAAGGAGATTGTGCAACCCTTAATTCGTATTAAGAGAATTTACGCTCAGAAACCTTGTAGTTATTAATATTTTGGTTATAATAGAAAGTATTCATTTTTTGGTGACGTCACACTAACGTTAGGTCGCATGCATACGTCATAATTAGCTAGATACGTCATCTTTTCCTGGTAAGGCAAACTTTTCCAGCGTGCTTTTTTCATGGATAAACAAACACCACTGCTTTGCACATGGATGGCTTGCCCATCCAGGGTTACAGGAGCCGCGTTGTTAGCATTGTATAATACTTAAACAAGGTACCTCTGCAACTGAATTATTCTTAGTTATTATTTTTTTTTTTCTTATTTTAATTTGTTTCTTCAGAAAGTGTACTTTCTATCACATATAATTGCACTGTCTTAGAGGCCTAGGCCTAGTCCTATGCCCCATCGTCCCCCGCTACACAGTACATCAGCAGCCCCCACCCCCATACAGTACAGGCGTTTGCTAGGTAACAACGTGATTGCAGCTTCCTTCCCAGGTGTTCATGTAACATTGGCATATATTGTTAGCTAACCAGTTGTATGTATTTGCATCCCCTCTTGGAAAGAGGGATTCGAAATCGCTAATTAAATTATTCACCGTAATTTAGCTTACACTTATGAATTTAGGGAGCACTTAAAATGTACAATAATCATTTGACTACCTGACAAACTCCGAACTTTATGCATTCATTAGGCCTACATAATAGTTTCATATTGCTTTACTATACTCCAACATCACTGGCGCATGGTAACAACCAACTGACTGCAGACCATTTTCCGGTCACACATTACTCTCCATAACACAGCACCCCCTAGTTCCGTCACCTCTGGATATGACTATAACGAGCGTGTTTCAAGACTAGGCTAGGGAACCCGTTTTAATTACAACTACAGGCAACCTTCTAGCGAACTTATGAATAATGACTTACATATAGCTTTGTGAAGCTGAAAAGCAGACCTACCCAGATTAATTAGCATATTGGATGCTGCTCCTAAATATTTCACTCAGTCACGATGTTTGTTATGTAAAAATGTCTGCTTGTCACTACACTTCAAGTGAACTACACAAATTGGATTCAAAACATCTTAGACTCAATCAAGCCCAGTGGGAAATAGTTAAGGAATTGGGTATAAACAGAAAGAAGAGGACTCGTAGAGGTTGTAGAGCAGGCAGAAGAAAGGTAGGCCCTAATACCCATTTTAAGCCTCATTCACACTGAATCCAATTTTTTTTCGAATCGGAAGTCCTACCGAACCCATCAGAAAATCGAATGTGTGTATGGACGCAGCTGGCGTTCAGCTAATCGGAAGCGCTGTTTGAATTGCGTTTCGGATCTGATGTGAATGCAGTTTTACCATCCATGACAAATATTTTCGGAGATTTGCGAACAACATAGGCCTATGTATATTTTCATAATTTTGATAAATGCAGTAATAACATCGAAGATTTAAATTGTTCACATTGTAAATTAATGTTGAAATATTGATTGGATACGGTATATTATAACAATAAAATATGGCTGCCACATTAAAAATTGCCGCCACTTTAAAAATGGTCGTCATAATAAAAATGGCCGCCATATTGATGGAAATTGCCGCCATATTGAAAATGACCGTTATATAATATGCCTTAAATGCTGAACAGTATTTACATCATGGATATATAAGGTTGGAATGGTGGTTGGATATATGATTCAGAATTCAAAATGGTTGCCAAATTCAAAATGGCCGCCAAATTATAATATAATCTTAAGCAGTGATTGATAACAGATATAAAACTAGCCCCCGCAGGACACCATCCCGGTATTTTTTGGGGCAGGAATTATGATTATGTAGGCCTACGTTGTTATATTAACATGGTAAAACTATACTTTGCCAGGTACACCATTCCGGTATTTTTGAGTCTACGTTTCGGGACCGGAATTGTAAGACTTTATATTCTTTTTGTTCATATGCTCGATGAATGATGCTCATTCCTTTTGAGTGTCATTGATCGTCTGCTCTCTTTCTTCTTCAGGCATGATTTGTAGATAATGTGATGGTTTATTCTTAAACCACGTCTCGTTTTTCCAGATTGGTGCTATCCCCATGCCTTGTATAAACCACGTTCACACCAAGCCCGGTTTCCGGTCGTTGTGTCCACCCAATGTTGTCTAGGATTGCCCCATGTCACATTCCCCATCATTACCTGGTGTCAAATATAAATAAACGAGGTATACGCCAAGGAAATTTCAATTTATACTTCAACAAAACTGGCAAATTGGAACAAATCACCTTAAATAAAATAATAATAATAATAATAATAATAAAGTAAGAACTTATATAGCGCCATTTAAAAAACCGAAGTAATTATCAGTGGCGCTTCATGTTAATGTTGGAATAAGTGCGTTTTGAGTGATTTTTTAAATAAAGGAATTGATGCTGATTTTTTAATGTGAAGTGGTAGTGCGTTCCAGAGTGTGGCTGCAGCAAATGAAAATGATCTGTGTCCGAAGGTCTTAGTATAATTTGCCCTCCTATTATAGGTAGAGAGTCTGACTTTCCCCGTGTTATTGATAATGTAGTTCCAAGACGTAACGTACCAGAAACGGTGAGAGAGAAGATCAAACATTTCTTTTCTGATGTAGAAATATAGTCTCACTTTTTGGTGTGATATAAATGAAACGGAACTTAACTTAAACAAAACAAAAATTATTTACATTAAGCGCTCAAACGAAGTATATCGACCAGTTCATCTTCTATAGTTGGTACACCTATACATGCTGTTTAAAACATTGTCATCTGGGGTTACAATTAACTTACATTGGACGACCATAACAAAATCATTTCCTTTGGAACAGAACGTTAGGTTTTATTGCCAGCACTGCTAAGGCTCCTCACCTTCTACCATTTCTTCTTTTACAAAGAACTTGTTGATCATACTTGATTACGGTGCCCCTTTCTGGTTGCTCCATACTAAATAAATGGTATTGCAGCTGAACATTGGCCTGCAGGGTCAAAGGTCAGGAACGTAGTTTGTGCAATTTCTGAGTGAATTACAGTGAATCGGAACTTTCGTGACCAAAACCAACTTTTTACAGTCAGTAGTCGTGGGAATAGGGGAAATTTGCAAATAGGGTCAAATATTGCATTTCCGGTCATTTTTTAAGCAAATGTCACATTAAAGCAAATAGAAATATGCATAGAACTCGCTACGACCAGCGGTTCTCAGCACATGGGAACCCTATTTTCTCACTCCTAATTTGGATATTCAAGCTAATTTGCATATGAACGGAAAATATGACTGAGACATAATTTTAGGAATTTAACCCCCTTGTCATGTGTGCTCATTTAGAACAAAACCCCTTCATTTGCTCTTTTCTTATACCGTCTAGCTTAATTTCAAAATACCCCTACCCTATAAAAAGGGGGCGTGGTCATTTTCGGGTTGTTCGTCCCGGATAGAGATTTTGGCACACATCCTATGTTATTCCTAGGGTTCATATTAGTCTATAACAGTTTAGAAATTCTCTCCTAAATGAAGTGCATACAAATCTTAGTCAGGTCCTAGACTACAAAAGGTATGTACGATTATCAATGGAAGAAAAGGCAGTCATTCAGAGACCAGAAAGGTTAAGAAATAAAATTGTCTTTACCAAAGTTTGAACAAAAAGTTTTACAATGATTAAGATGTAGGTCTTGTTCAGTAATATGATTATTGCTATTGTCATTATGCTCCTGAAGGCCGGATGAGGTTACTGGTACTGGTATGAGGCATTTATATTGCGCCTGTTCCTTGACTTTAAAGCGCACTTCTTTTCCCGTTGGGTCTACATGCTTTAAGTGTTGCTGGTAATCAGCGCAGAAGCAGGTAAACCCACCAGGTACCCATTTATACTCATGGGTGGAGATAAGCAATACAAATAAAGTGCCTTGCTGAAGGACACACGCGAAATGCACGTCAGCGAGGGATTGAAACCTCGACCACCTCGAGGTTGGGAAACCAAACCGTTCCCGCTGCGCTAAACCGCTTCTACAGGTTAGACTAGTAGAAGGATGTCGTCTGTATAATACAACCACATTGAAATTTTGGTGAGCAATAACAGCACCACAATTGAGGCTATTCTGATTACTTACAACATATTTGTAGAATTGGTTTAAAATTCCGAGAAAGATCTCCTTGTCTAGTTCCCTTGCCAATCCTCCTACCAAGGGCTTCAGACGACATAACTTTTAAGACGTATTTGAATAACAATGGTAAGGGGCATAATACTGTAGGTTGTGACGAACATAAGATTATGATTATTTTTTTATTGAGATTTAGTCCTATACTATGTGATTCAATCACTATCACAGAGTTTGCATTGTGTTTTGGGGGGTTTGCAGGATTTAGCAATGTATTTATACAAAAAATGGCATTTTTACCCCAAAAGTAGGTTGTTACCAACGGAACATTATAATTTCTTTTAACTGAGATACCAAGTTGAGTCCTGTACTACATGATTCAATCACTATCACAGTGTTTGGATGGGGTTTGCAATGTGCTTTTCGGGGTTTAGCAATTTGCATTGATTTTATACAACAAATGGCCTTTTTACCCCAAAAATAGGTTGTTACGAACATAAAATTATGATTTTCTTTTTTATTGAGATACAAAATTGAGACCTATACTATGTGATTCAATCATTATCACAGGGTTTGGATTGGGTTTGCGGTGTTTTTTTGGAGGTTTGGAATACCCGTGAGAGACACTCACAGATGAATGGCCTAGACGAAGGTAAGAAAGTTATAATTATTGCACCTCTAGATGTCCGGAAATGTCCCCACCCTCAAGCTCCTTCAATTTGAATATACATTTTTTTCACCATTTAAAAAAAAATAAATAAAAAATAAAATAAAATATTTAGGGCGTTGGGGAGGCTGGACCTGCTGCTCCCGCAGACCAGTTAACCCTTAAGACGAGTTAAAATTTCGTCATCAGCGCGATTGATCGTATCGATCAGGGTCCCATTGGACGTTGATAACTTAAAAAAAACCCCCAAAAAACAAAAACAGTTTCACGAAAAGACGCACCAAATGAATTGACAACTAGTTAAGTTAGGTTTCTGGTTGTAATTGAATTTTATTATGTATAGCGAATGCATGTGAAAATTCGAAGCGAAGAGATAAATTCATAAGCAACAGGGATACTATGACAAAAGCCATTACATAATATAATGACTATATTAAGTAAATAGGAATAGATGAGCGGGAAAAATTAGAGTTCACTTGAATAATCAATTTGAAACGATTGAGCCTAATAATAATATTAATAAATTTAGCCACTGAAAATATATCAGTTATTGGCAGCCATTGACTAGGAAATCTAGTTGGCATATTACATCTCATAATATTTTTATATTATATTAAATTATATTGTATTATATTATATTATGTTGTGAATACATCTTAATTTAGAAAAATTAGCCATTTTTTTGAAATATTAAAACTAATTTAACTATTTAAAGAGAATCGTGCGGTCGTGCATTCCTTAGATACATACTAACCATTCCTTTCCTTTTCTTTTCCTCCAAATTAATATATAATGACAGGGGAAGAATATGACCTTTGAACTCTTATTACCAGAGACAGCCCCTACTCTTTGAAATAGATACAGGGGCGGATGCTGATCCTAGGCGTAATATAATTATATACCGGTACAGATAAATACGTATCCAATAATGGTATAATTCGTGATCATTATGCTGTTACAAGATTTTTCCGTTAATAGAATAAAAGACAGCAATGGCAAAACCAGGGGCACGTGCCTTCGTGCCTAGCCCTAAGTCCGCCCCTGATACATATACACAACTGGACAGTCTGAGTATTTATGTAGGCCTACTATTCTCTTTATCCTTTAATAATAATAATAAACTTGACAAAAGACAGGCTATAGAAAATAGTTGTTGGATACTTATAATTGCTCAAATTTCTAAATTAAGAAATAGCATTACCAAAGTTTGAAATTATATATATATATATATATATATATATATAACATAGTGAGGTTCCATGTGTGTTTTTCGGTACGATAACAAAAGACTATAGGAAACGAATACCATGTATTCAGAAACACTTTATTGGAGAAAACCAATATTTCGACCTATCCTCAGGTCTTACCATCCACGAAAGCTAGTAAACTAACAAAGATGGAATTGTAATGGCCTCTAAACAACAATTCAATTTCAAATTTACAAGAACTAACATAAAAGTACAAAAATACAAAATGACTCAGCAGTACTTGGTAGGATTGCTCAATTAAGGCAATGCCCATCTGTCTTGAAGCTTTCCAGTACAAACCGCGAGAAACATGAATATAACATTATTATTTTCAGAGCACTTACAACCCCTGCACAAAATATTATTATTATAATTAAAATCATTATCATAATAATTATTATAATCATTATAATTTCAATTTGGACTGGAATAAAATTGTTGGAAGCACAGCTTTGAACCTTTCCGTAAAAATATGTTTAGAATATCGCCAGATTATCTATAGTACAACAGAAATATTATAAATATTAAAATTATCGTTTCCAAAGCACTAAAACACAATCTATAAAAAATGTGTTTATTACAAAAAAAAATCAGAATATAGTTAAAGCACTGTCCATACTATCACATTTTATTTGACAAAAAACCTTTTGTAGCTCATGCAGTCACATGACTACTAGTAATAGTCCTAATGTGCCTATAGAGTACCACAGTCGTGTCGTCACAACGCCAGGTGGCGCTCTAACCAAGGACTTTTAGACGTTGGTTACGGTACCGTTCATTACTCCTGGATGACTGCATAGGCTTTCTGGAATAGGCATTTTAAAATATAATATTTTACCATCAAAATGTACTAAAAACACTATAGCTCCCATTATATTAGTTATCGAACATTTACAAAGAAAAAGTAAGATAGAACATCTTAATAATTAGTTAGAAATTGGGATCAATGGTTTGTCAGTGAGAAAAATGGCGTCCGGTTGAACATTTTTTCAACGATAGTAACCTGGTTGTAAAACTGCTGAAATGAATTTTAGCGGGAAAAAAGTAAAGGAAAATTAATTTTTGGTTTTACTGAATCAACATACCCTATAGTGTCTCAGAAAAAAAATCCCCATGCCTACGGCTTGGACAATTTTTTTTGACAGATTTTGCCCTAAAATACCCTATTTTAAACTATTTAAAATGGGGGTAGGGGAAATAAATTTATGTTTTTGGTCACTTTTACATATACTGTGGATATGAAATGTATCAAAAACTTGGCTATATAGTTACTCATCACTCTCATTAAAAAATTTGATCGGAATGATGACGTCATCACGATAAATTCCAAGATGGCGTCCATTATTGTGGAAAAAACTATGTTTTTAATGTAAAAATAATTTTATTGTTTAAAAGTACAATACAATCTCAATACAATATTATACATACAGGAATAAAATAAAACATATATATATATATATATATAATTGATGAACTACAAAGTTAACCCAACGAAAAAACGAAATAGTGAAATTTTGCTTTAAAATACCAATTTTTGGATCGGGGTATGGGAAACATGTTTATGTTTTTAGTCACTTTTAGGGGGGTTTTTTTCTATAACTGTAAAAACTGACAGGACCTTAGTTAAATACTTACCCATTATAGTCGTTCAGTGGTGGCCCCAGGGGGTCTGATAGGGTGGGTCCAAACACAGGGCCAACTAGACCCTAGGTCAGAGTCAAGGAATAAAAATCTTATGGGAGAGTTTATTTTTTAGCTTAGTATGGCCCAACATTTTGCTTTTAAGCCAAAATATTAGGGATTGGCAACCAAATTAATGTTATGGATAAGCAAATCATTATTTGTGGTGTGGCAACCTCGTCGTGGCATCGGACAATAGGAGTCTATGCCTGTCTAATGGGAATTCCCCACCTCCCAAGCAAATTTGGAATGATGACGTCAACACACCAAATTCCAAGACTACTACAATCAAAATTAAAGGAAATGTTTACCTATTTAAATTTAATCTTTCTACACTACATTTTTCTTCATCATCATTATTTTACTATTATGTTGTTACTTTATAATATTAGTAATATAGTACTCTATATAATTATTCTTATGCGTTTAAAAAAAAATTATAGTTTATAATTCACATTAATATTAGCGTTAGTACTGTTATTCTTACTATACTGATGTCATTATTATTATCATCATCATCATCTTCCTCATTGCCATCCCCATCTTCATTATAATCCCCATTATAAGGAGGATGTTGATCATGAGGAGAAGAAAGATGATTAGGATGATGGTGAGGAAGAAGATGATGGTGATTATGATTGATGATAATGGTTGTTGATGATAATAATTGTGATGATAGTGATGAGAATGATAGAAAATGATTGATGAGAATGATGATGATGAATGATGAATGATGAGAATCATCCCTCTCATCCTCATCCTCATATTCATTCTCGTCATCCTCCTCCTTATCATCATCCTCATGATGATGATGGTGACTGATGAAGAGGATAATGATGAAAATGATGATGGTAATATTGATGATGATGACAGTAATCAGGAAGATGATGAGGATGACGATAATAATGAGAATGGTGAGGATAATGATGATAATAAGGAGAATTAGGATGATGAGTTTGATGATGATGAAGATAAGGATGATGATGATTATGATTGATGAAAATTGTTGTTGATGAGGATGATCGTGATAATGATGAGGATGATTGATAAGAATGATGTTGATGAGGTTAATGATGAAGAATGATGAGAAACATCCCCTCTGCCCCTCATTCTCATTTTCATTCTTGTCGTTCTCCTCCTCTTCATCATCATTCTCATGATGAGGATGATAATTGATAATGATGATTAATAAGGATGATGATGATGTGGTTGATGATGATGAGGACTAGGATGATGAGGACAAGGATGATGATGGATGATGATGATAATGAGGACTATGATGATGAATGATGAATGAGTGATGATGATAAGGAGGATAAGGATGAGGTTGATGATGATGAGGATAAGGATGATGATGGATGAGGATGATTAGTAGGTTGTGGTGATGGTGATGATGATGACGATGATTGTTGAGAATGGTGATGAGGGTTACAATGATGGATGAGGATCAGTGCCATAGCCAAGATTTTCAAACGGTGTGGGACAATATCAGGGTGGACCCACTTTACGTGTAAAGCAAAAATATGAAATATCTGGACCCATATTCTTAAATTTTACCCATTTTTAGCTAAATATGAGAAATCTGGATCCATTTTATGCATAAAA